TGTGATTTATTCAAAAAATAAATGATAAATAAATCAGTTGCATTTCCTGCACAGGCCTTTGTTTCTGGTAGAGGAGCCGTTCTGTCAGATCAGCATACCTATAGTCAATACGCATGCTCAAGAACTCAGATTTGCATTTATCACTTTAGTTTTGTACGAAATATAGACTTTAAACTACCTCAACGGGCGTGTATCCCTTTAGTCATGCACAAAAAAACCCAAAACTATTTAAGGGTCAGATCGCCATTCGCTGCTAAAAACTTCTACTGGGTGAACTGATTAATCCAGGTGCAACTGGCCATGGAGGTAAAACTGCCCAATTTATTGCGACATTGATTTGAGGTCATAGGGCCCAGCCCTGATGGTGAGTGATGAGAACAGGCAGCTAGCTTATGACACTTTCCTAAATATAGAAGTTAAACATTTTCAAAGCCTCTGGCTGCATGGGGGCGTGGATGCTAAAATGACATCATGTAGCAACTGGGACGTCTCATTCTCATCCGGCGTAAATCTGCAGACATCCTCACCTCACCCATGATGCTGGAAGCATCTGACAGACCGACAAGAACTAAAATGTAAAATCTTTAATGTCACAACTGCAGGATTTTCTAATACGAGCCCTAAAAGGAAAAAATCCTCAGAAGGGATTTACTATTAACGATGCTCTTAAGACCCATTTCTTTTCTTTGGCTTTCCACACAATCCGAGATGCTGACTTTGTCTAACTATGTTCACAGCAATTTGTAAAATTTGCAGGGAACCAGTAAAAACGAAGTCTGGTAACAAAACCAACAAGTTTTATCATCTAAGCCGCCGCTCTGTTGGCACCGGCGCGGTCGTTGAAGGAATCTTCAGGAACTTCTGCTAAAACAAAGCAGGCTAAACTGGGCTTCCTTCTTTGTGATAAATACGACAAACATCCAAGCAGCGAAAGACATCACTCATGGATTAACATGTTCATGGCGATGGATATGCTGCCCCTGATCAACCTGGCTTCAGACAGCTGCTCGCCACTCATGATCTACGATCCGTTCTGGGCTGCAAATATTTCTCTAACTCCCTAATCTGTCCAATGAGTGCAGAGAATCGTTGCAAAATTATTTCCAATCTGTGTCTTACTACGCCACAACGTCGAAGCTCTTGTGACGTAGACAGAGAATGGAACCAGAGAAGTAATGCTACGTTCAGACTGCAGACTCTAGAGGCAGCAGAAGCAGCTGGTTTACATGCAAAGTTAATAGTTGATGCGCATCAAGGCGCAGCAAAAGGTCCTGCAGCGTGTCAGAGCAGCATCTCATGAGCTTCTGATGCGTGTTACATGTTTCACAAGCAGCAGAAATGTAACTTTAGCTGCTGGACGCGCCGCATCATCGATTCAGAAGCTGATCTGGGAGCTGGCAGGGAGTCAGACGCAGAACTGATGAAGCAGAGCGCTATGATCACTCCTCTGAAACAGTTTATTAACGCCTAAATTAACTTCAAATGTAGAAACCTGCCGGCAGAATATGTTGGCTTTTATTATCCTGCTGCCTGCAGTTTGTAGCACTACCATGTAGGGATGGGAATCGAAAACCGGTTCCTGTTCAGAACCGGTTC